TTTTTTTTTTTTTTATCCAGTATCCATTTTAAAAACTATCGGTTAATTAATCGGTTATCGGCAAGTACGGACCAACCTAGCTATCGGTATCGGTAAAATTCAATATCGGTCGACCTCTATTCGAAACGCTTCTAAAAGTTTCGAAACACTAGTTGTGCACAGCCTACTGGCAAAAACCTGAACTGCTGCTATAGCAAATGCTCCCTTTTTTGTAATCAAATTCAGTGTGTGGGCAAAACATGGAATATGAGTTATTCTCATTAACTGGGCACACTTTGCCATATTGGCTGCATTGTCTGTAATAATATATCTTATTTTCCCTTGGAGGCCCCACTCAGATACAGTATGAGCTTTTCCTTTGCTTCTTTGAATTCTTTGAATCTAAGCAAATCCTTGATATTACATCTACTATAATTATATGTCCCTCATTTTACTTATGCCTAAATTACACTAATTCCTAACCTGTTTTACTAATACAGTTGGATTACAAATAATAATAATTGCCAAACTACTCTGTCAAACCAACAACGCCACAAATACCCAACACGCACCAATTTTTTCCTAGGGTTTTTTATAGGTTTTTTCTCTCGCCGTGAACAATGACATGGCAGTGACGTGACTGATGTTTCAAAACATTGTGTTAACTCCGTATTGAGACCAGAAGTTTCGGACGTCTTTAGAACGGATTGATCCTGGGTGCTGAGATTGCCATCTTTACACCTGAGTTCGTGACAGTATCATCTGCAAATTGGCTCGATATAAATTCCTTCGCTAGTATTTCAATTCCTTGAATATCAATTGAATTTTTAAGAAAAATTGCCATCAGTTCAGCATCTATTATGAACAACCGAGGACTTATAGGGCAACCCTGTCGGATACCACTTTTAACAAGAAACCTTGGTGAACAGCCTCGGCTAAGAGAAACATTACTGCCATTATCATTATAAAACATAATGTGGCAGAAATTAGTTCCAAAGCCAAATATACCCAAGGATTTAAGAAGAAAGATGCTCTAAATAGTCAAAGGCCCTAAAGAAGTCGAAAAACTACGGAAGAGGATTAGGGCCACCATGAAAATATTATTTGAATTCTGACTTTAATGTCAGAATTCTGACTTTAATCTCAGAATTCTGACTATTTTTCTAAACTCAGAATTCTGAGATTAAAGTCAGAATTCTAACTTTAATCTCAAGAACCTTGCCATCAATATGGTTCCAAATAATAGCCACACCTGCTGAATGTGTGGTACCATGTGAAAAAAGAGATTTCCAAAAAGTAGCATCATTGTCAATATGAGTCTCTTGTAAGAAAAAACAGTTAACCCTTGGTTCCTCCTTAAAATAAAGAAAAATAGCCTTGTGCTCAGTGCTGTTTCTTAAACCTCGAACATTTAACGAAAGTAAGGAAAGTGACATTGAAGTAGTAGTAGTGTTATCATATAATGACCTTCAGAAAAGTTTAACTAGGCAATCGCCAGGAATAAAAGAGTTTCATCTTTAAGGCTCAATGCCTTCAATGAGAAATACAAATCCGAAAGCTAAGACAGCCAAAGAACAGCTAGCGTCTGTTAAAAGTGTTGTTCCTCACAATTACTGAAATATACTTAGGACCTTGTAGTAGCAAATCACAAAAGCTAATTATACCTGTAAGATTGAAAAAAGTTCTTGATCACTCAGTCACACGGTGTCCATCAATAAAGGCACAGCCGTCGTGGAGGTAGGTTTTGAGACCCCTCTTCCTCACCTCTACTATCTCTGGCTATAGACGGATGTGTGCCTCATGGTCCTCCTCGCAAAGGTCCTCTCTGAAGCAGATATTCAGGTCATTGCAGATCTCTGCATTTTTGGACATCTTCCACACTTTATCACAGACAGGTTATCATCCAACCAAATTGGATGATAACCTGTTAGGGTCTGTTAGCTTTAGTCTTTTGACCCAACCTATGTACCGTGTCCACTGTGTTGAGGAGTTGGTCTGATGAAAGGGGAACAATTTCGGCCAGGATCTTGATTACTTCTTGATTACATGTTCTCTCCATCTTTTTCGGGAACTTCATTCAACCACAGCGACCACCTCCGCTTGTTACCTTGAGTGTTCAGAACATCGTTCACAAAGCTCCACATTTTCTTTTTGCACCATAATTACCTGGGTCTTCAATTTAATCAATTCAATTTATGTCTTCCATCATCACTTTCAAAGCAATCACGTTAGCATCTACTGACTCTTTCATTTTAATGACAGCTTCTGTGTTTTCTTTCAGCTGCCATTCAAGGGCCTGGAAATGCTTACTCTGAGCATCACACTTACGCGGTCATAAATAGCATTCAGGAGGACGCTGTTGGAAATCTCACCATTTTGGTCCGAAGATTTCTTTGTCTTCTTTGGATTATGGCTTTTGATTTTTCTAATCTAAAATTCTAAATTATCTAAAGCCCTGCGATAACATACAGTTTGTTGTTATCAAAATAAAATTAACTTTAATTAAACGGTCTATTTGATAATCTGGAGGAAAATTAATCGTTTAGATTAATCGGCTAATTGGTAAAATAGTCAATACATCAATCCACAGAAAAATAGTTGTTAGTGGCAGTCCTAATGGAAAACCATCACAGAAATTAGAGGCTATTATACCAACCATGGGCTGACCAACTTCATGTTAATACCCTTTGTAATGAAACGAGACACCATATACTTTTGTCTATGTTGTGTTGGATTCCTGAGGAATAATGGGGATGCCAGCCCAGCCATGGAATAGTGAACCAACTGTTCATCCCACAGCTCCACAAGACATCTGAAGGTGTCTGATGGTACCAAGATGATCTTTTAAGTCCTGTAACTTGTGAAGTGGGTTTTGTCCAGCATATCCCAAGGATTCTCATTCAGATTCAGATCTGGGGAATTTCGAGGCCAAGTCAAGACCTTGAACTCTCTTTCATGTTCCTCAAACCATTTCTGAACATTTTTTAAGTGTGGCAGAGTGCATTATCCTGCTGATGGAGGCCACTGCAATCAAAGAATACTGCTACCATGAAGGGGTGTACTTGGTCTGCAATAATGTTTAGGTAAGTGGTATGTGTCAAAATAACACATGAATGCAGGGACCCAAGGTGTCACAGCAAAACATTGCTGCCAGCTTGCGTTCTTCCCATAGTGCATCCTGGTACCAACTCTTCCCCAGGTGGACAACTCAGATGCGCCTGGCCATCCAGATGACGTAACAGAAAATATGAGCCACCTTCTTCCATTGTCCAGTTCTGTTGTTCACTTGCTCATTGTAGGCACTATCAACCGTTGGCAGGGATCAGCATGGGCATTCCGACTGGTCTGCAGCTATGCAGTCCCATACGTAGTAAGCTGAGATACATTGTGTGTTCTGATACCTTTCTGATACCAGCCTTAAATTTTTCAGCAATTTGTCCTACAGTAGCTCTCCTGTGAGATTGGATCAGATGGTCTAGCCTTCACTCCCCATGGTCATCAGTGAGCCATGGGCAAGCATGACCCCATTGCTGGTTAACTGGTTGGCCTTCTTTGCACCATTGTTATTAGGTACTAACTGCTGCATACCAGGAACACTCCACATGACCGACTTCCAACACATCAACTTCAAGAACTGATTGTTCACTTGCCTAATATATAATGGGTCATTGTTACAAGATAATCAATGTTTTCCTGATGTGCTGACAGCTGTTTGGACTTGGTAGTTTCACAGTGGTCCCACATGGTCATTTGTTAAGTAAAACAGGCATATGGAGTATTTAAAGTGACTGAAATGGAGAGTGTTGTTCTACATGGAAACATCAACTAATCAGGGACATTCACACAATATATAAAGCAGCATGCAGGACTGGGACATCATCCCATGTCTTTAAGGATCCCCTTCTCTCCTTCACCCTTTTACATATCTAATTAACTCCATGCACAATGAACAAAGCAGTACAGGAAAAGTGCAGGAGTATACGTCTTAACATATGTTTATTCATTAGCTGGTTGTTTTTTTTAAAGACTTATTTGTTTCCTATTTTGTTTGCACAAACAAAAAAGGTAATAGGCTCTAATGGCCCACATAACTATATACAAGGGTTCCTTTAAGATTCAGGGCCTATGTGTCAGTTCAGGAAATAGTCATTTTGTTACTACATAAAGAAGTAATATATGCATCTTTATAATGACTAATACTCACATCTAGGTGAAATTTTCTGTGTTGGGTTATTTTCTTCATGAAATCAGACTCATCTCATTTCCATGGGCAAAAACAGGAGATGGAAACTTTAAACAAATCACTACAGTCACATGGAACGATGCAAAACCAAGCAAAGAATCAAATGGCACATGCGGTCATGGTATGCTTCTTACATAGCTATGTCTTTCTCATTATCTGCTCAGTCCAGTGTTCAGGAACGTGCTGCCCACACAGCCACCCAACCATGGATACTCAGCATTGGCTGACAGTTCTGATTCTAGGTGAGTAGATTCAGTAATATATGCTTATTTGTGGTACTTGAGAAATATTTTTCCAGCATTAATGATAATATTTCAAAGACAATCACTTCAATGGTGGATGGCTGTGTAAGGTTGCACTCTACCTTCCTGCATTAGTGTATTAATTAGCTTTAAGTAATTAATCTTCTATGTAGAGTTTAAGATTAAAGCTGTGTGTCAATGAATTTAGAAAATTTCAATATTGTACTCTGGGAAATCAAACAGTAGTACAAGATATTTGAATTCATGTTCTAACTGTATATCCCAGTGAGGGATATGACAGAGGTCTGGAATCTATCCTAGACAGCCATATGACTGGGGCTATACTAGACAGGGGTATGATGAGAGCCTGCAGCCTATCCCAGGCAGGGTAAGGCTGGGCTAAATCCTGGATGGGATGCCACTCCATTATAGGGCACATACATACACTCATCATGCACTACCAGCAATTTGGAGGCACCAGTTTCCCTAACTGCATATTTTGGTACGTGAAATGGGGAACAAGCAAACTCCACACACACATAACAGAGGTTAGATTTCAACCTCCATCTCTGGAGCGCTACCCACTGAGTCACACAAAATATAAAAACGGATTTCCAAGTTGACTAAAATAATGGAAAATTGCTGTCAAATTTTAGCATACTTTTTATATAATAATGATTTTGTTCATAACAAATAAAAGGCATAGCTATTACCGTTCTATTGTGAAAGAGGTCACAGAGTCAGTCCTTTCCCATTCCTGGCTTTGCTGATCTTACAAATTGGATATAAAGATTCCATTTTGGCAACAGAAATTGATTCCAACTGAGAAATCAGGTTCTAATGGAAATTCATGAAAGTTGTATGAATTTTTAAGTCAATTGCTGTCTGCTAAATCATCAAGCTTGCATAAAAGCTCTCCTGTTTGTCTCCCCCCCAGTTTTTTCCACCCATTTTGATTGCTTTCAGGCTTCTTATTATTATGTAAATCAATACCAAACCTGGGAGGATGCCCAAGCATACTGCCTTGAGACATACACTGACCTTGCTATCGTCAATAATTCTGAGGATCAAAGCAACCTCATGAAGACGATGAGAGGTGCATCATATGGCTTGGTTTGGATAGGACTGCATCAGACGTCCTCCAACTGGAAATGGAGTAACGGTGACAAGGTCACCTACCAGGCATGGAACAGATACATGTTCTGTGCTTTATCTGATACATATGGTTTCTGGAGAGACACTCTATGTGACTATGAATACCCTTTTATATGCTACAAAGGTAAGTGATTTCAACTAATAGTAATATTAGAGTGTAATATTTGGTACATTATTTTGCACCAAAATTATTTTTTTTTAATGGAGACCAATACCATTGATTTTGTTCAATATGGAAGAAATTGTATGTTTGTCCTCTTATATACAGTAAACATGGAGGCTCATGGGCTGTAGTATGTGTAAAACGCACAATTAATTTGTATTTGATTTTAAATTATGCAAACTTTATGAAGGGCCAATTAAATATAAACAGCAGCATGCATACGCCCATCTTTTATCTGCTTATCCTGTACAGGGTTTCAGGGGGGCTGGAGCCTGCATGCAGCACAGAGCACAAGGCACACCACGGATGAGATACCGGTCCATCACATGACACATGTTTACTCAGACAGCCTCAGCACCTTAGGAATGCCAATTCATCTAACTGCATGGCCTTGGACTGTGGGATGAAACCAGAGAAAAATCTGCATAAAATCTGCATATACACCCCGAGCAGCGGTCAGAGTTAAACCCCAACCCTAGAGGTGTGAGGCAACAGTGTGTCACCATACAATTCTATTGAATAAGTTAATAATTATTTATTAGGACAGCAAAGCAGCTTCACAACTCCCGGTTAGTGGGGTTTGAATCCAGCCCTGGCTATACGAGTGGAGTTTCCATGTTCTCCCTGTGTTCGCGTGGGTTTCCTCTGGGTGCTCCGGTTTCCTCCCACAGCCCCTAAAAACACAGTCAGGCAAACTGGTGCCTCTAAATTACTTATAGTCTTTGATTGTATTTTTGAGTGAGTGTGTGTGTGTGTGTGAGTGTTCTGCGATGGACCATCCAAGGTGTTCTCTGTCTTGTGCCCTGTGCTTCCTGTGATAGGCTCCAACCTCACTATGACCGAGTACTAGATAAGCAATTGGAAGATATTAATATCATAGGTTGATTGATCAAATTATTTTATCAAATTATATTGCGTGTATTAAACGTTCATCCATAAAAAAAAATAATAAGTTCTGTACTATTGATGTAATGTAAAGTTGCATAATTTCTTACTAAATATTATATAGAATGTAACTGTTATGGCAGGGCACGGTGAAGGAGGGGAAAAGAGGGAGTGGCTCATGAGACAACAGGGTTTATTAACAAAAAAATCTGAACACAAAGGTATAACCACAAAATAAAGGGACCTCAAGTGGTCCATACAAAACAAGAAAAACAAGAACTATATCGTGGACGAACAAGGGGCAGGTGTGGACCATCACAAAAATGACCCAATCAAAAAAAAAGAGCAGGACAACAAGCAACACGTGGAATAAATCACAATTAACAAACACAGGAAAAAGAAATCATTACCAAACACAGAAGCTAACAGACTAGAAACAGGCCAGAAACACAACACTAAGAAAAGCCCAGGAACAAAGGTATAAGCAGAACAGAATTAAACCAGGCACGAGCAAGGTAAACCAAACACAAGAACAAAGTGATGCAGAGAAACAGCACTAAACACAAAGAATAAACTAAAATAAATTACACAGCAAATGACACTGGCCTATACAGCCACTGAACTGTACAGCCCATTGAGCCACGCAGAAGCCTGGGGAGCAGGGAAACACACTAAGGACTTAGGGCGACACCTGCAGGCCAAACGGGGACAAAACAAAAGGGATAAGGCCAGATGGGCACCGACACTGACAGTAACATTTTACCTAAGACTTGCCTAGAGTAACACATATTTTTGTAATGTATGGTTTGTAATGTAGCGTTTTCCTGATTTGCTTCTATGACTGCCAACAGTCCATAGTCAATGCTATTAAAATATTTAATTTGAAAATGCATATTTCACAAATTGTTTACGTATCAAGATATTTTAAATCAAAATCTGCTGATGCTTGGAGGCATTGTTAATGCTTCTCTAATCCACAGAACTAACGAATGGAGTTATAAATTACACCCTAATACAGCAGCCGAAATCCTGGACTGATGCTGTGACGTACTGCCAGACTTATTATACAGACCTGGTGTACATTAATAGTTCTTCTCAGAACGATGAGGTGATAAATTTTGCGCAAGGAGTTTCATACTTCTGGATAGGACTGAGCAACAACCCCTGGACCTGGGTGGATGGAGGCACCTACTCAGTGCGGGACTGGGGAAGATACCAGCCCAACAACCTTGGCAGTAACCAAAAATGTGTCCTGGCTTCAGAGTCTGGATGGAACGACTATGATTGTTCTGTGTATCTCCCATTCTATTGTTGCGATCGTGAGTATAGCTTAATTTGGGAAAATGGTAAAATTGAGCCGAATGGCATCAATACACAGCACTGCGATTAATATTAATTAGCTCACCAAGAACACTACTGTATTTGCAAAGGTACAATATTTATTTTACATCTATTCAATTTCTGCAGCTGCCTTGTCATCTGCCCTGGCAGCCAGATGCAATCTGGTATATTCATCTCTGCCCTGGATAGACTGTTTAACATACTGTGCCAAAAAGAACCAAACCTTGTTAACAATGAAGGTTTCCACTGACGCATTTGATGTTGCCGCAACCGGGTTCACCATATGGATCGGGCTCAATAGCACCAGACTGAACTGGACCTGGTCCAATGGACAGCAGGCAGCCTATACCAGTTGGTTGCCCAGAGTTTCTTCCTCAAGTGGAAACTGTGCCATGGTTAATTCTGATGGTTACTGGGAAGATGACGCCTGCACTGCAACACATCCATTTATATGTTACACAGGTAGCATTTAATCCCTTACTGTATATATTAAATATGAATAAATATTAAATATCCCTTACCACCCAAATGCTATAAATTCAAGTTATGAGTTGAAGCCAACATTTCTTGCTTTTATTTGTGCTCCATATTTCAGAGACCAATGGCACCCTTAACTATACTCTAGTTAGCCAGTGGATGGCCTGGAAAAATGCATTAGCATTCTGCAGAGCGCACTACATTGATCTGGTGTCTATAAAGAGTATCAATGAGAGCATAGCATTGAAAAGTTTGGTACCGACCGGCAGCTGGTTCTGGATAGGTCTGTTCAATGACCCCTGGATGTGGTCAGATGAGCAGGACCCTACCTTTAGTTCCTGGACGGATGTTATAAGAAGCTCCGGACAATGTGTGGCAGTGGACATTTATGGTGTTTGGTGGGAATACAACTGTCAAACCAAGCTACCCTTCATCTGCTCTGGTTGTGAGTATTTTTTTCCTCATGTTCCTCATGATTTCATCAGATTTGGATGACTGTGCAGAAGTTTGAATCAAACAATTACTAGAATTTTGGAGATTTATTTTAAATGATCTACAGTACATAATATTTATACTAAATGACTCTGTCTCTCAGTGCCTACAGTGCATAAAATTGTATTGAGGGTCAACCTCAGGAGTGTATCAGAAGACCTGGATCCAGATGACCCTTCAGTGGCAGATGATATACTAACTACGGTATAATTTCCAGTCATTATGAAAATTGTAACATATTTCGAAAAAAGCAGCATAATTAAAAGCTATTCAGAAATAATGGTGTAAACATTTTTTAGATTCCATCCAATCAATTTTTAGATAAAACTTTAAAGAAAATATTTTTCCTCACTAATGAACTATTGAAATCTCCACAAATTTTGAGTATGTTATGTACAAATGGCATGGAACGGGGAAACAGGAGCAGGAGTCACGAAATTGGGTGAACAAGGGGTTTAACTGAAGAGCGCACACACTGGAACACATCACAACGTCAATGATCGGACTGGGGAAACATACTCGAATGCAGACTTAAATACACAGGACTAATTAACAACAATGAGAAATAGCTGGTAACATAGGAATTCCACACGAGGTAGTGAGGACCGTGGCACACGGGAGGATCGGATGAGTAGGGCATAACGGAGTAATGTATGTCTTACTATGTGATCATGTTAAGTTCTGTAGTTAAAACAGAGATATATAATTGCTGATTGTATAATTAACTGAGTTGGTCAATTCTTCACTGTCTTTACAGATAAAAGGAAAATTGTCCCTTTATACTTCACTGGTTAATACCACCTTCCTCTGGAGAAACCAGGATGGACATATATTTCATGAAATATATACCAATTCTCCTGGTGATTACCATTTATATCTCAATTTCTTTGCAACTCCATTAAATTCTACTGTAAACCTCAATATGAATCTAATTTGGTTCCTTTCTTTAACATAATTTCTTGAGCTGATATCTTAACTGACTAAATGTTCTTTTTTATTTCCAGATAAATGTACAGTTTGATGATGATCTACAGTCCCAACAAACTGCATTTAATACTACTGCAAATGACTTATAGAATTGCTGTAGAATACAGTATGTGTGTGGAATCAATGGTGTTAAATAATAGGATTATAAATGTTGCAGGGTAAAAACCAACATCAACCCTTTTACCCATAAAGTACAAAATTCTGTGTAATCCATTTGTGTAACTCTAAAGTGAAACATGATTCTTTGTGAAAGAATAATGGGTGAAAGATCCAGAATTCAGTCATTTGATTTGGGTAGAGTGACCCTCGTTGGGATTAAGTGCTTACGGTGATGGATGGATTTGGGTGGACCTGGAGTGCTGCTCCGTGCAGGTTTTCATTCCTCAAGCTTAAGCTTTTTATTGAGCAAACTAGAGATGCACCGACAGCAATTTTCTTGCCCGATTCCGATTTTCAATCTCTTGCAAGTGTGGCCAGCCAAAACCAATTTTTGCAGATTCCAGTTTTCTTTCTAAGAACTACAGTATAATTGGCAGCATATACAAACAAAGACCAGCTTATCTTCAATTCAAAATTTTTATTTTTATAATGAGAGATTGTGAAACTTTACAATATCCCCCAAACTGCACTACAAGATACAGGATAATCTCTTACTTAAGTCTCCAAATAAAGTGCTCTGTTACTGGAAAGAGGTACAAAAATTACAAATTAGCTGAAAATGGGTTGCTGTACACGCAACTTTGTCTGACATATTTTACTTTACCAAACAAGAGCAGGTGCAATAGATTTTCCAGCATGTGTAAATTCACCAGATAACACAACATTGAACTTTTTATTTTTTTTTACTCGTCTTAAAATTAAAAGCCCATTGTTTAAATACCTCCAAATACTATACTCTTTCAAATAGGTACAGGGTAATATAATTTATACCAACACTGCATGTTATGGACATACAATTCTCACATTGCTAGTAAGATAGATTAAGATCAGGCTTTTTCAAACCTTCATACTGTACGGATATTATTGTGCAAGTTTTGCTAAAACAATCTGTCATAGGAAAAAAACTTAACTTAGCAATTTTACTGATTATTCCTTTTCAAGATTATCTAATATATGCTTAATAATCAGTTTAAAGTTTACCGTTGATGTTTTGCCATGTTTTTGTGGTGGTTCCCCCACAGTTTACTTTGGCTTTACATGTATTACAAATTGCAAGCTTTGTGTTGTCTTCACTTACAGTGCAGAAGTTCCATGCTAACTACATGTTAGCTTGTGGCTGTGAGCATGCATATGGCTGTAAGGCTATCGCCTGCACCACTGTGTGTATGTCATGTGATGCGTATTTAACAGACTGATTTATTATCTGAAATACATGAGACTGACCAGGCAGTCTCCGGTCCTGGCCAAGCACACTGTAAATCAGCCGATTCTAGTCCCTGGCCAATTGATCGGTGCCTCTCTAGAACAAACTCTTTGTCACATTCAATTGAATTAGGCTCTTTTGGCACACTGCCTGTTAGCCAATGATATATCACTGGAAAACTGCATACACTGTAGCCCTGAAAGATTTACAGCTAGCAAAACTTGTCTAGGGGGTCAGGTGTAGTCAGGATGGGGTACCTGAAGCTCCGAAAATGACAGCATCATTTGTCACCGTAGAAGGTCAACCACAGTCTGAAGTGAAACGACAAATCATTTACAGTTCATGTGCAAAAACATATTTCTGAGAGTTTATTGTTAATTGTCAAAAAGTGTACTAGGAGGGAGCAGCATCCTAAGTGTCCATAGTATAATATTCATCCATCCATCCATTTTCAGTAACTGGCTGTCCTATTTCCAAACAGGAAACAACCCAGAATGGGGCACCAACCCATCGCATGGCACACTTACACACCATTCACTCACACACCATTCACTCACACATGTACACCTACAGGTAATTTGGTAACTCCAATGATACTGGGAGAACATGCAAACTCCACACACATGGAACCCTGGAAGTGACTCAAACCCAGGTCCCAGAGGTATAAGGCACCAGCATGCTTTCAATAACATAGAAACTCGTAGGGTACACCATACTAATGGTCCATAGTACAGTATAATATAAATGACACAGAAACTAATTCAGGAGGGTACAACATACTAGGGGCCCACAGTGTAATATACAATAATGCAGAGTTCTAAACCAATGATTCTGTCCAAGGTGTACCCCTTTGTGTGGCTTGAGATAGGGTCCAGGCCGCTGGTGACCTTGACCAAGACGACAGGAAATTGTGGTAAACTTTTGCAGCACCCAGGTGCCAACAGTGATATCATCAAGGAGGCTGAGATTCGACTGAGACCACCAAAAAGAGAACTGAGGAACTCTCAATTGTAGGCTGCCCCCTGGTGGCCTAAAGCAATACTTCCCTTGGGAGCCTCACAGATATTCAATCTTCACATTGAAATCAAACTTAGTAAGCCATCACCGTTTAAATCACTTTCACAATCTCTGGTCTTTGGGCTTGTAGTGCTGATTAGTTTTCCCTGTCTCTGTTTCCATGTGTAGAATGCAAGCTACTGTGCTCTATATTGCTTTGTCTCTAGAAACCTTTTATTTTCAGAACTTTGATTCTGGCTCATTGCTCATAAAGAAGAAAACCTGTAACAATGTGGTTCTGTCTGCAGTCCTGACTGGAGGTTTGCTTTATTTGTTGGCTTGTTTGTAATGTTTTTGAAAATATAAAAAATTCAGAGGTCTACTTCAGCCTTGGCAACATTATAATATTAGATACATTATGTTAAGCTGCCCTTGCAGTGCCTTTATTTGTTGGCTTGTTTGTAATGTTTTTGAAAATATAAAAAATTCAGAGGTCTACTTCAGCCTTGGCAACATTATAATATTAGATACATTATGTTAAGCTGCCCTTACAGTGCCTTGCAAAAGTATTCATCCCCCTTAGCATTTTTCATGTTTCGTTGCCTCACAACCTGGAATTAAAATGTTTCTTAATCTTATTTAATGTGATGGATCTGCACAAAATAGTCTACGTTGGTGAAGTGAAATCAGAAAAAAATATATAAAAAAGAAAAATAAATAAATAAAAAACAGAAAATTTGCATGTGCGTATGTATTCACCCCCTTTGCCATGAAGCCCCTACAAAGTCCTGGTGCAACCAATTACCTTCAAAAGTCACATAATTAGTGAAATGAAGTCCACCTGTGTGCAATCTAAGTGTCACATGATCTGTCAGTATAAACACACCTTTTCTGAAAGGCCCCAGAGGCTGCAACACCACTAAGCAAGAGGCATCACACCATGAAGACCAAGGAGCTCTCCAAACAAGTCAGGGACAAAGTTATAGTGAAGTACAAGTCAGGGTTGGGTTATAAAAAAATATCCAAATCTTTGATGATCCCCCGGGGCACCATTAAATCCATCATCTTCAAATGGACATGGTACCACAACAAACCTGCCAAGAGAGGGCCGCCCACCAAAACTCACAGACTGGGCAAGGAGGGCATTAATCAGAGAGGCAGCACAGAGACCATAGGTAACCCTGAAGGAGTTGCAGAGTTCCACAGCAGAGACTGGAGTATCTGTCCATAGGACCACAATAAGCCGTACACTCCATAGAGCTGGGCTTTATGGAAGAGTGGCCAGAAAAAAGCCATTACTTAGCGTTAGAAATAAGAAGGCACGTTTTGAGTTTGCCAAAAGGCATGTGGGCGACTCCCCAAATGTATGGAGGAAGGTGCTCTGGTCAGATGAGACTAAAATTGAACTTTTCGGCCACCAAGGAAAATGCTACGTGTGGCACAAAACTAACACATCCCATCACCCCCAGAACACCATCGCCACAGTGAAACATGGTGGTGGGAGCATCATGCTGTGGGGATGTTTTTCAGCAGCAGGGACTGGGAAACTGGTCCGAGTCGACGGAAAGATGGATGGTGCTAAATATAGGGATATTCTTGAGCAAAACCTATGTCAGTCTGCCTGTGATTTGAAACTGGGACGGAGGTTCACCTTCCAGCAGGACAATGACCCGAAGCATACTGCTAAACAACACTTACTGTACATGGTTTAAGGGGAAACATTTAAATGTGTTGGAATGGCCTAGTCAAAGTCCAGACCTCAATCCGATTGAGAATCTGTGGTCAGACTTGAAGATTGCTGTTTACAAGCAAAAACCATCCAACATGAAGGAGCTGGAGCAGTTTTGCCTTGAGGAATGAGCAAAAATCCCAGTGGCTAGATGTGGCAAGCTCATAGAGACTCATCCAAAGCGACTTGCAGCTGTAATTGCCACAAAAGGTGGCTCTACGAAGTACTGACTTCAGGGGGGTGAACAGTTATGAAGTTTTCTGTTATTTTGTCCTATTTGTTGTTTGCTTCACAATAAAAAAAGAAATACATCTTCAAAATTGTAGGCATGTTCTGTAAATGAAATGGTGCAAACTGTCAAACAATCCATTTTAATTCCAGGTTGTGAGGCAACAAAACATGAAAAATGCCAAGAGGGGTGAACACTTTTGCAAGGCACTGTATTTTATGTTGGACCCCTTTCCCATTCAAAGTGAGAAAAAAATTCAAGGGGAACCACTGGGGTTTGGAGAATTAGTGATACAGGATCCCTCTGTTGTTGATTTTCAATTTTTAACAAAAGACTAGTTTGCATCAGAAATACACCAATTTAAAACCTCCAGTTCAGTTTAAAATTAAAACAGAATATGTACCATATCAAACTAATGCTAGGCTAGCCATGGAGAAGTTACACCTCTCTGTCAGTCAGGGGACTTTGATCATGCCGACTTGAAGTCTGTCAACAGTCAATAATAATGAAACTAGAGACGAATTTCAATTAAGATGTTTGTTTATTTGCATATATTCCAGTTACAATAAGTTTTGGGTACCCAGCAAAGGAAAACTATTATTAACCAAATTTATTAAACAAAATTAATAGTGTAGCGCCAGCGACATGGCTCTGCAAAGTGGAGCGCAGTAAGTCAGCTGAGCATGCTGGGTAAATAGTCCCTTGTATGTATTTCTTAGTATTAGTATTCACAAGGTTTAACTATCAACAGTGGTGAGGTAAATAAACTCAAAATACAAGGCCAGTGCTCGCCACTCGACTGTTTCTACTAAATCCGACTCAGAGTCC